CACGAGTAAGAAATTAAAAATAAATTTAGTGTGTATTCTTTAAATACTAAGTTTATGTAAATGATTTTGTAAATAAATTTTTATCTATAAATCCGTTAACTTATGTAATAATTTGTTTTTAAAATAAATGAATTATCACAACTAATTATGTATACATAGTTACTATTTATATAAATTTATTTTATTATTATTTTTAAGGATAAAAAAAGAGATCTAAATAAAAACTCGTTGAGCTTACAACAATTTTCATTGGTTAATATACAATAATAATAATAATAATAATAATAATTGGCTTTTTAAATCATTTTTGAATTCTCTTTTTAGAAGTTCCCAAATTATTTTTTTCTAGATTTTTGTCTAGTACAGAAAAGTTAGATCGAACTAATTTTAATTCCATTTTAAAAAGCTATAAATTTCTTAAATTAGTTTCTTGTAAAACGGATTATCTCTATTCTCTCTTGTGTCAATTAGTGCGGTTGGCTGATATGAGCTAATTATCCTAGTGGTTTCCGATTTATTCGGTTATAAATCATCCTATCTAATTAATTTGTTTTCCACTAGAGGGCAGCGGTTGCCGAGAGTAGGCTACTCGTTAGTGTCCTGTCATAAATTTTCCAGCGAACAATGTCCAGTTGTGAAATACTTTCGGATGATCCTCGTTAGTGATTCGAAACCAATTGTGCTAAGTCATACGAGTCAAGTCATTTCATACTTATTTTTTTTTTTTATTTATCACAATAACCAATTGTTGCTGACAATATCCATTAAAATTCTAGTTATTATTATTTTTTTAAAGTAGGCTAATTATTTTACTATAACGTATTTAATATATTTGGCCATTGAGTTTAGATCTTTCTCAAATTTTTTTCTTTTAGGCATAAAATAGGATTTCTATTCCGAGAAAACTAATTTTTAAGGAGAGCCATCATCAAAACAAATGAGACATTATTAGAAATAATTAAAGGCAGGCGAATTATAGGATGAAAAGTGCTGTGAGATCTTATAAGAAGTTATACGTTTAAAAGTATAAAGGGAAATTTCGTAGGAAACTTTCTTCACCTGTAATCAAAACAGTAACAGATATATTTAATCAAAACATATCAACAGTCCTAGAGATAATCGTTTATTAAAATCAGAGCAATTTTTTCTTTATTATTTAATAAAGGATGCAGCAATAACCATAAATAAAAATGAGGAGGGATAACTTTTGTTTAACATCCCACTTTCTGCATTCTGCCTCGGGCTTCTTATCTCCGGAAACTCGTTTAAAATTATTTCTTTTTCATGTTTAATAAGATAAATTAATTATTTTCTCTCAAAAACCGTATTAATTTTTGTATGTAAAAATACGTAAAATTTTTTATTTACATTAATTTATACATTCTATTATTTACTTTTCATCCAAGTTGTATCGATTACAAGGAAATGACTTTTTTCACTAAATTAATAGATGCAGAGATTTTATTTGAATAAATATTACGGTGATTTTATGAATGATATAAAGAAACAACACAACTGAAAGCAATTTTTGATGATAAAAATGTATTATTCTTTTTACGTTGACATATTTTTATATTTCCATTAATCCGAGAGATCAAAATATGAAGAGAAAAATAATTAAAAAGAAAATTTCTTTCTCAAATATAATAGAGGAAATTGTTTCCATCATTTCATCATATTTTCTTGATTTTTTCCTATACTTTTTTATACAAATTAAAACATATTTAAAAAGAATTACGATTTATTTATTTCATCATCGAATTATCGATGTAGTACTAATTACTTGAAGTTATTGCAAAATATCTCCCCCCCCCAAAAATCAAGTTGAATACTCCAAAATGGAGAAGTTTAATTGATTTTATTTTTATATTTATTTATTACTAAAAAATTAGAAAGGAATTTCTCTCTTAATAACTTGATTTCACTTATTAACATTTGAAAATAATAAGGTATGGTTCATCCTATTGAGATAATGATGCCACTTGTCAATTAATTTGTCTCTCTCGAAGATTTGAATGAAATAATTAGACTGGACATACTCCACTTCATCTGCAATTTCAATTTTTTCTTTCCCCCTTTTCTAAATTAAGAGAGTTCATATGTTAATCTTTCATTATCGTTTCGAAATTTAATTATAAAATAATGCTATCTCGTATTTGTTAAGGTTAAAAAAATTAATTAATTAATTGAAGTGTTTTTCTTGAAATTTTCGGGCTTAAAATGAAATTTGTGAAATGNGTAAAGCTTAACATGCCGATCTTGCCCCGGTCTCCCCTAATTCTACTTCTATCAACAGAATAGTCTACCATAGAAAATATGTGTTTATTATGAAAAATTTTTTGCTTTCGCTAGAAGTTTTCAACGCTGAATGTTCACGAATATATATACAGTATATAATCTCTGAAATAAGGATGAACAATGCTTGCAACTACCTGATGCTGGTATTCTTTATTAAATATTTTTCATTTCATCATTACAATTCTCGTATGCAAATAATAATAATAATTAATAAAATGATGCATTCAATTATAATAATTGAATTGTGTGCATATCTGTTTTATAAAACAATTCCAAAATCTTGGAAAATTGCTAGCAATCAAAATATTCATTTTAAAGTATACTTCGTAGGTTAAACGAGAGAATGTGAAAGAGGCCACTAGATATAATGAAATTCCATACTTCAAATATTTCTCCCGTCCATTTGATAACTGATAGTATTCTATAAACACTGAAGATAAATTCCATCCATTAGTTTAAATGTAATACATAATACATATCAAACTATTTATCAAGAATAAAAAATGGCAGTTTCGCTGAAAATTCTCTACTGTAGCAAAGGCACGAAATAAAATTAATTTATTTTACATTTAAATTAATATTTCATTAATAGGTTTTGACTAAATACCAATTTTTCTCCAAACGTTTTCTATTAATTCTTCATATAACATCGAGTCATTTCCAGAACAGAGAATCAGTAGAGTAAATATCAAGAGTTCTGAAAAGCGAAGTTATTAATTAATTTTAATAAGTTAATTAAATTTTAAATTGTATGCCCTTTATAATAGAGATAGATCTCGAATGTTTCTCGAAAAAGATACTAATTAGAATTTTTTTTTAAATGTATAAATAATTTTCTTTCACAATCTAGAAGTTAAATGAAGTCTTCCCTCTACACGATTTTTTGCCTTTTTTTTAATTTATCGTTTTTACTTCCTCGATCCACTTGTTTGTCGATCGAACTGAGAGAACCAATCATTTGAATCTATCTTTGCTTATTGGCAGAGGTGCCATTGAAGAGAGATACCCAGAATTTCATCTAGTGAAATATTTTTAGGCGATGATAAGAACATTTCCAAATATATAAAAGAAAAACAAGACGACGTAACATTTTCTTTGCCATTTAAAATGCTTTTTGAGAGTTTAATTATTTTCTTAATCTTCTAATTGCTAAAAATTGACTGCTAAAGTTGGCGATTAAAAACTATGGAATTAATGTGAACTAGAATTTCATTTGGCATAGAAATGGTATTTGCTTGAATCGTTGCCAGTTCTATTAGTTTATAGAATTATTATTAAATAGTACTGAAAGTTTGTAGAAGCGTAACGGTTAATTTTGTGGGGAAAATGAATTATGTTATTAGGATTAAATTCGCTTCTGAACTTAAGCAATTTGTTTTTTTATTTTTTTATTTTAATTTTTAGAAAGTCTGAATTTTAGTACACAGCAGAAATCTTCAAATATAATTTTCGAATAAACAGAATTAGTTTGAAATAAGTTGTTGAGAAATTTGATTATCTAGGAATATTTTTCACTTAAGTTAATTTTATGATAGTCTACAAATTAATTTTATGAAAGATTCGATCGATACAGAAGGAATACAAAGGATTTTTGGATTAAGTTCGTCCGTTGAAGTTTAGTTTTTAATTACTGTTTATATAAATTTCTTTGTCCGGATGGCTTACAAAGTTTAATATAATTCCATTAAGTACTTATAAATCCGACCGATGATGAAACGTTACTCGAAATCGTGTCGTACGTCTCCATCAGCTGCTGAGATATCTTCCTTTGTAGTTTGGAGACGGGATTATTTTTCTGGATCGATTTAATTTTTAATTATACTAGAAATNCACATTTAATATTGGCGAACCGTGCAAATCAGAAATCGTATCGAATATATTAAAACAAAAAAGAAAAATAAATAAATAAATAAATTAAAGGTGGACTCGCTGACCAGCGCAACAGGATCATTGTGGAAGATGGATATCCTGCTATCTGTAGATCTCTTTTGTCCTTTGTTACGTACGTGACGTTTAGTATTAAATCCTTTTTCAAATCAACCCATTAGCTTACTAGACACGTTTTATACTAGTGATCAGTGAGTAGGTTCTCCAACTTTTTTCCCCCTATCTCACATTTTATTATTTTAGCAGACATTTGATAATAGCAGAACGCTTTTATTCGACATTTTTCCAAGATTTAGATAAGTGCACGTCTATTAAATAAGGCTATATTCTCAGCGATATATTTGCTTTTTTTCTTTCTTTTCATTTAATTCTTATATACAGTACATTTAGTATACGCGATTAGATTAGATAAGTCGAATCTCTTATTCTGTAAAATTAACTTTAAGGTATTCTTTTTTTTAAATTTATTATTAATAATGTAAAAAAATCAATGATTTAAGTGTAGAAAGTTATAAGTTAGTGGAATTTTTGTTCAGACGTAGTACAACGATTGTGTCAATTGCAGTGATGATACATTAATCTAGAATATTAAAAAAAAAAAAAATTACAAGCGCCGAGATTACGATCTCTTAGCTTATTCCAATTATGAAGAAACTCGTAATCGATAAAGAAGAGTGTTTTGAATGCACTTATCAAAAACATTCACGTGCTTTAAGAAAACAAAAATCGTTACTTCTCGGGAAAATTTGTTTGAAGTTATTCTCTACACGTAGTGAATAACAATTTTATTTTATTTTATTTTTTTATTTGTACAGAAGCAACACATCCAATACGGAGGTAATAAAAAAAGAAGCCACGAGTGGTAATATTTTGTGGCAAAAAGCCTCGGCTCTTCGTCAGTCTCTGCGGAGTTCGAAAAAAACACGTCAGGATGCACCACATCACGTTCGTTCATATAGCGATTACGGCGACGGCCGACTGACGGATGCCAATAGATCTCTGATGTATTATCCAGACCACGTGCCATTGCAAGACCTACGCCGAAACCAAAAGTCGCAAAGGAAATTGACCAGAGACTCCGGCTACGAAACCAGCAGCGGCCAAACCGAACCCGATTATGTAAATAGCGATTGGCTCTCCAACCATGTAACCAATAACTATTATCCTTTAGAAAAGTAAGTAAAAATTTCATTTTTTTCCTCACAAAAATACAAACAAAAATTGTAAATTTAAAAGTGAAAAAAAAACCATAAACGCCTTGACCTAAAAAGTCCAACTTGCACCCATAAAAATACACTTAATTCTCATCTTCTATACGTTTCTTTTCGTTCGCTGTATTGTTATTTAATTATGTTGAATTTTTAGAATGTAAGGCAATTTTTTACGGCAATTAATTTACGTTAACATTGATTGCAATCTATGAATTGCATTTACATTTATAGATCAGTAAAGGCGATTTAATGCTAATTTTAGATAACTTACATAAAAATTATATTTTGCCTTTCGGTTATTTAGAAAGGAAAGATTTTATCCTGTTAAAAAAATCGACATTGAAGTTCTGATAACGAAATTATCTCTTTGTTTTTCGGCATATTAATGCTATTGAAATCAAGCGCCTAGAAATCGCAAGAATCTCTCCTTTTTTTTGTAATTTATTTGCAAAGAAAAATGATTTTTACGGATTTTAAATTCATCCGAACCTTATTTGCCTAATTGGGTTCCGAGAGGCATAAATGGCAATAAAGTTAAAGCGGAAACTAAATTCTGTCGGAATGAACTTAATCTGCGCACTTTTTTTTTTCTTTTTTATTCTTTTAACATAATGAATTTGCATACTTTTATAATTAACTTATTCCACTCGAACATTCCCTTATTTGAAAACCAAATTACTTTTAAATCTGTCCCAAAGAAAATATATAAATATAAAAATATTTAAATTTCGATTTTAGTAAATTATTAACTTAATAAGAAAATATGATGCAAAAATTTTACTCAAAAATTAATTATTAATGGATTAATTGAAGATTAATCCATTAATCTTCAATTAATCCATTACAAATACGTGTGCCGTTCACAGCCCGGCACACGTATTTGTAAAATCTAAGTGACTCGTACAACATGGAATTCATATAAAACGGAATTATCGTGTTATAGGGGAGTCGACTGTATACCGTATATATACTTTTCAAGAAAATATGTAAACATATACTTAAAGTAAACCATCGTTTGATCAATATAATTATTTAAATTAATTATGGTTCTAGAAATCTAATGTAAATTCTGGACGTATCATTAATTACATTATTTGAAAATGATAACGTTCGTTTCCTACAAAATGCTTCCAAATTTTTTTCAATTATATTCTCGTATCTGTAACTAGACTCTGGACTAAAAACATGAAAAATGAAAATGACATTGTCTTATCTCCATCTTCCTGATTAAAACGATTAGACAAAACCGCTATCTGTAGTGGAGAGCCCAATGTCTATAGATCGAAATTCGGTATCCGGATTCGGGGATCATTGAATAACCGATTGAATAGTGTAATTACTAATACAAAATTTCGTTTTCGTCTTCTAACATGAGGTAAGAAATGATTATAATTCTTGTAACAATAGATCTAGTGTGGAGTTAATCAAATATCCGACGACAGATGGCGTAATGCGGTAATTTTTTATTGTATTTGGTATTTAAAATATTATGTTGATGGAAGAGCAAAAATGAAATTACTGAATGATATATTTTACTAGCAGCTTATGTAAACTGAATGCGAATTTTCTAATGGATTAAAATAAAAATAAAAGAAATATTTATAAATAGAAAAATAATTTTCATTTGTCGATTTGTTAAATTAATTACACGTTAATCTCCATGCCAGTTTTCTAAATAATATTCTGATTACTTTCTGATATTCTGAACTTTGAAATTAGCTTGTACATTAGAATAATCAGAAGGGTAATTTTAGGAATTCTGTAATTGATTGCATTGTATATAATGCTTTCATTTTTAAAGTGCTAATTTTAATGTAGGATGTATTTAATTTATATAAGTAAAAGTATATAAATATAATTAATATTTTATTTTTTTTGTTTAAATCTAAGTTGCATTTTATACATTAGAAAATGTTTTAATTACTCATATATATTCTAATGGCTTTCGTATATAAACTCTGTGTTTGTGATGCGAGTTTAGATTGTATTAAATATTCATATATAAGCATAAACTAGAATAAATGTAAAATGAAAATTAGTTTTATTTATTGTAGACAGATGGAGACACAGAGCACGTTTGGATCTTCATATATATTCAGTCACTACAGGAAAATAATCAGAAAAATATATTTTACTTCAAATGCAATTGTTTATATTTAAATTTTGAACATAAAAATATCAAATGAAATATTTAGAATTATAAAAACCGATCTATTAATTGAGAATTATTGTTTGATTAATATTAATAATATGTTTGTTTCCGATGGAATTCGTATTAAAAGCTTTGTTATTACTATTAATTGACTAAATATCAATAGCTTCAAATGCATCATTTTTTTTTATTAATAGATGAAAGTAATGGAAAATAAACAAAAATTCGAATGATTTGCTTAAATTTCATTAATATTCAGATTAATTTTTACATTTATATTATTTGTTTAATGTTTTATTTATATCGATTAAGAGGTTCTTAGATATGAAAATTCACGTTGTGTCTTTGAATTTTGTACGTTTAATTAATGTAAATAAATAATAATAATTAATTTGTTAAAGAAATGAATATAAAATATTGCAAATATTTAATAACTATATCGTAAAAATAATTTAATATGCCGTAAATTAAAATTTATTATATTCCTTTGCCATAGTAGACTTTGGCATTCCGGATATGTAAGAGTCATGGGATGATGTAACACATCTGTCTTCTACCAAAGTCGAATAGCGGCAACTAAATTATCCTAATTATCATTCCTATATAGATTAACTGAAGTTCTTCATACTCGGAATTCGTTTCCTGGATTCTATTGATACTATCGAAAAAAATCAGACTAACTTTTCTTATATATATATAAAAAATGTCTCGTCGAAAAGTGTAAAATCTATAGAGTGAACGTTAATTACAAAACATAAAACTCGAGACGAATCGTCAATTTAACAGAGGATATTCTTACAGCTATGGTACTAAAGTAAAAAAAAAAGAATTAAATTAAGACCACTCAAGACGTCAAAACTGGTATTCGCTCACAAATCCGAACTTGTCTCTAGGGAGCGAGCTTTTCTTTTCGGATAAGTAACAGAAAAATACTAGTTCATTGGAAGATATTGCGAAAAACTAACTCTCGGCGATATCTTGATTCAATATACCTTGTCATTTTGCTATAGTTTCGAAATTATTTTATATAAGCCTAGTTTTATTCTTTGTTAGGACATTTTTCTCTTACTTCCGACTTTTTTTTTTTTCCTTCTTTTAGATGATTCCAGGCTGATTTATTTCAGAAAAAGTTAAGAGTTAACTTTGATATGGTGTGACTTGGTTAATATCCGACTTGCACCTGACACCTGCTCTATAATAAACTACGGAAATTTTTTACATGGTTGATATTATTCTCAAGAGTCAGCTTTGATTACGGATTTAGAAAAAAACTTTGTCAATTTAGAAGAAAATTAATGTTTTAAATATCTTTTTTATCATTTTAAAATTCCTATTAATTATTAAAGTAGATAAAATTTAATATGTGTAATTTTAAATACTTGAAAATGAGCTCTGTTTTGAAATATCCTTATTGATAAACCATTAGGCATATGAAATGGTAATTTTTATTAATAACGATCTATATACATTCTTTTTTCTGCACTCGCTTTTAAGTTAGCATTGATATCGGAATCTTTAAAAGAAAGTTATAACCCTGCTGTATATCCTAATAGATAATTAGACAACAAATATATGCACCAATACACACAAGTAATTAAATATTTTTATAGTACAAATAGAATAATCAACTGCAGATAAATAAGATTTTATAAGCTAATAACAAAATATTGATTATATTACATTTATATAATATACTTCCGTGTATTTGTTTGTGCCCCTTCACAATATACAGTATATTGTTCAGGGCATAAACATAACCATACATAAACATTTCAATGATGGAGAATCTGGAGATGGTCTACATTAGAACGGAAGTACTACCTAATATTTAAAATTTTGTTGGTTATAAGGTGTACAGTACTTCAGCATTGGTTAATCTTCACATATGTGAGATTAATACTTCACATATACATAAGTTATACTATCTATCATATGATTAATATCATGATGTTTAGACTATTTTCATACTATAGTCTTGGAACATTGGTTGTTTTCGACGAAACCACGAACGTTAAATTTTATTAGATTTCCTGAACACTCACTTAATAAGCATTTTGAGATGGCCTTTGTTTATCAGCAGGACAGCACACTTTGCCAAACTGTTCGAATTGTATTGAAGATAAACCCAAAAAAATAGATTGATTTATCCGAAAGCCAAGTCTTATTCCTGATGAAATTCGTTGAAATGAATTGGATGAGCGAGAAGAGTTCAACTAGTCATTGTAGAGGATGCGTACTGATTGATTTCTGTACTCGAATATATAGTCTGTACTTATGTAAATTTCCAATAGCTAACTGTAACGTTAATTGTATAATCAAATACGCTATCATTATTATCAAACGAAATAAACTGGTTGAATAGATGGCAATAATAATTGGAAGAAGTAATGAAAATTATTAGTTTAATATTNTTATTAAAATAAAGGTTTAAAGAAATTTTTATGAAATAAATAAATTAATTACTAAAAATTAAAGTGTTTTATACACCAATTTATTATTTTCATGTTGATGCGAGATTTATTTACGTATTTTTTTTATTGTAACACACAGAACAAATAGCCACGAAACCTATCACACGTGTATAATTCTTCTGCAAATCGGAAAAAGAATAACAATGAATAATATAATTGTAAAGTATAGATAAGTGAAAAGTTCAGAGTTTAATTACAGAAACTTCTGGACAATGGAGACGTGACGGTTCCTGTCCGTGTTTTATTTTTATCTCCTCCTCACCTTTCATTTGAGAAATATGCAAATCTTCCTTTTATTGACAATATTAAACCTACGCTACCATCTCGAACTGTGTATAATT